CCCCCCCCCCCCCCCCCCCCCCCCCCCCCCCAGCCGGGCCTCTCGGCCTGAGCTGCTCGCGCCACATCCGAAATCCGATCAGTTGCTTGGCCTCCTCCATGTATGCATCTCTGTGCATACCTAGGTATGCATGCGGTGTTCAACTTGTTGCGGTCAACCTGGCAATTAGTTTGGGGACGGCCAAATCAAGGGCGGGGTCGTATCATGCTTGGGACACCATCAATCCAGACCCAAGTGTAATCCAATTCCACCAGACGGTGGCGGCCCCGGGGGACTAGATTTTTTCCTCACCCATCACTAGAATCTATCGCCTGCTAGCGCCTCCTCTCTTGTCACCGCACCGTTGGCGGCTCAACCCGGCCGACACCCAGAGATGATTGACACCCCCAGGCTACGGGCGCCTCGCTCGACGTCAGCTGCATGACCGCCTTCTGCTCCCAGAACACCCTGATCAACGAGAACTCGGACGTCTTCGTCGGCCTCGTCGGCTGGGCCGCCGGCTCGTTCCCGACCTCGTACATACTCAGCATGACGCCTAACAAGAATGGCAACAGCTTTGTCGACAATGTCATCATGAAGCAGTGCCCCCTGAGACCTGGCTTACTGCCAAGGACGCCGCCCCCGCGCCTGCCCCTACGCCCAGTGCGGCCCCAGCCCCGGTCCCGGCCCCCGTGGCCTCCAACGTTCCCGCCGCCCCTCCCTCGAATGTAGCGCCACCGGCCTCGAGCCTCCCGCCCATTATCCCCGCCCCTCCCACGTCAGGGTCCTCTTCCGCTCCCTCTTCATCCTCTTCTACCGTTCTCCTTGTCGCCTCCTCTACCGTCTTCCTCGTCGGCCCGCCCCGATCCTCTTCCGGCTCCGGCTCCGGCTCCGACTCGGGCTTCAAGTCCGCCATTCCGAGCCGCATCGTGCTATCCATGGTCATGGGCACCAGCGCCGCGGCGGCTGGCGGCCCCAGGGACTCGGCCAAACTTCGAAATACCGCCCAATACCCGCGTCGACCCTGCTCCTATCCCATCGGCGGTCGTGCGTCAGTGCCCTCCAAAAGGCCTCATTCTGCCCCACGCCCTGTTTATCGACCCTCACCTCCATACCGCCTGCTTGTCCAGTGCCGCAGAAGCGACGCTCTGTCCGGCAAGCCCCCCC